AGGTTCCACCCAGCTCTCAGGGATTTCAGCTCTCAGTGGAGGAACCTAGCTGCTAGTGCAGGCTGGGTTGTCTCTTCCACAGCAATGCTGTCCTGCAGCAGGTCTAAGCACTTAGACCTGATTATCACTGATTTCAGCTCCAGTGGTCAGTTTTGAAGCCTAATCAGCTCTCTCTCTAAACAGGAGAGAGGGGCAGGTCAAAGACTGCCTGTGACTCTTAGGCAGAGCCCACACCACCAAGCAAAACACCTGTGCCCCGCCCTCTCTCTCTTCATTAGGAGATGGCATCCAAACCTCCTGTTTAGTGAGTGCAGTTCAGTTGAGTGTGACCAGTGCTTAATTTGTAATGAAAGAGGTGTCGGGGCTCAAGCAAGTTAGTTACTTTCATAACTGATGTGACAAGCCCAGAGGTCCCGGGGCTATGAACTGCCAAGCCTAGAGGTGCTGGGGCTCAGCCCTGCATGCCCTGGCACAAATTAAGCACTGAGGGAGACCCCCTCATTCAGTCAGGCTAAGCACAGTTCTGCTGCCCTTTACTCATACAATAAGAACATTTCATGACCCCCACATAAAATACTTAAGTGATTTGTAACCCAACACCAGCCAAAATTGATCACTTGGGTAACACAGCTCTGTCTGCTGGATACCTAGGCAGAGTAGGTGTGTTCATGTAAATACAGTCTGGTCCTGAAGCCTTTCCACCCACCACTGGCTCATCATTAGCTGTCAGAGGAGAGCTCAATCAGACCTTGCTTATAATAATAATTTGAAATTATTAGGTAGGCCAATATAACCTAAACAAATGTGTCCACATTGTCATAATTAACAGCTGTATGAGGAAGCTAATCTTTGTTCATACTTTTCAAACCCATTATGCTTTCCCAGGTACAAGTATTTTCCCATATACTGTATATGCTTTTAAAGTGTGTATTAATGTTTCAATTTCAACTCAAATTTCCAACCAACAACTAAATTGGCAACAATGCATGTAACTGGGAGGAGGGGTGTTGGAGAAATTCAGGAGGGGTGTACACCCCCACCCCTGCCAGGGGAAACTAGGGAAATCCCTGCCTGGAAAGGAAGGCCAGGGCAGGGGAGTTTAATCTCACCATGTGGAAGAGGTGAAAGTGTATTAAAATAAAGGCCAGGGATACAGAGAGCCAATCCACATAGCCCACGGAGCCAGGGCAAAACGGCCTTACAATACATTAGTTACTAAAGCATCATGCAGTGAGCAGTATTATATTACATACGTTCCAAGGCCAGCAGGGTACTGGGGTCATCTAGTCTGAACTCCTGCATAACACAGGCCATAGGACTTTGAGTCAGGGAGCATACTTTTAGAGCTACTGCTATTGCACAAGCTGCAGTGGTGTGCGCAAGTCAGGTTCACAGTTGGACCCCTAAACCATGTGGAAAATCTGCTCTTTAAAGTGCCATCATTAGGCTATGGCTGCAGACCATTCTCCAATTTGCTGAGTTGCTGGACTAGGACAGAGTTACATGTGGAAGGTTCTCTCTGGCTGTAAAAAACAAAGGGCTGGTCTACACTGGCAATGCTAAAGCGCTGCCACGGCAGTGCTTTAATGTGCCTTGTGTGGTCGCAGCACTCTCCCAGCCCTCAAAAAACACCCCCCCCACACACACACACACACACACAACCACACTTCCACGAGGGGCACAGCTCCCAGCGCTGGGGCACTGTCTATACTGGTGCTTTACAGCACTGAAACTTGCTGCACTCAGGGGTGTGCTTTTTCACAACCCTGAGCGAGAAAGTTGCAGCGCTGCAAATTGCCAGTGTAGACAAGCCCAAAAGCTTTGATTCTGCAGGATTCCTCACAGCTGCTAATTCAATCCACCCTCCAGGCTGGGTGGTGGACACCCTGCTCTAGTGCGTCAGCAGGGAGTGCTGCCTGGGTAGTCAGCCAGCTGTCAATCCAAAACCATGATTTTTCAGCATGAGAATTTAGACAGAACAGCACCTGCAGGTGGGATTTAGCTCCAAGGACATAGGGGCAGGCTCTCCCTTACAGAGCAGAAAGCAGGGAGAGGCAGTGCAGGCCCAAGCCTGGACCACGCAGCTGGCAATCAGCTTAAGAGAGGAGACAAGAAGCACCAGTATCCAGTTATTTCATCTTTATTTACAGGGAAGGGCAGAACAGTACATCAGTCTTGAAAGCCACCTCACCCAGGCTGAGCCTACAGCCCCTAGAAACCTCTCCCCCTCTGTAGGGCTCCAGACACTTGTTACCTAAGGGCTGGCCTCTGGCCCTCTTGGGGCAACCCAGACGTCACTGGGTCTCAGGAGTAGGGAGACTGCCATGCCTCAGGAGTTTGTTGGAGGGGTTTCTGGACAGGGTGGAGGGGAGAAGGGCTTCCCATCCCACGATAGGAGAGGAAGAGAGGGAATGGTTTTGCCCCTGGCAGTGCTGACTTGGGGCATCTGTTCCCTTCCTTGCCCCCTTGTGGTCTCAGAGAGCCTATCACACACCGCGACTTCTCCCATCCCGGTTCAGCTAGAGGAGAGGGAAGAGCCAGCAGAAGGTGAATAATAAGCATCTCTTTTCTCTAAGAAGCCAGGCCTCTAGGTTATTCCTCATTAGTTAGCCCAAGAGCAGGACCATGCAGCAGCCTTGCAGGACTCTAGATGTCCACAGAGGGGCAAGAATAAGCCTGAGCTTTGAAGGCTCACCCCAAAGCACAGGAGCCTGGTACTGAACAGCTCACAAAGACAGTGAGCCCCCAGGGAAGCCACCCAGTCCCATGTGGGGAGCCGCTTAGGGAAAAGGAAAGCAAAGCGCCAGCAGGCTTGAGGGCAGAGGCCACAGCACAGAGCTCAATGGGACATGACAAGGTTAGCACTGGGGGATTCCTCAGTTCTTAAGGGAACCCAAGATGAGCAGAAGAGACCCTTTCCAGTGCTACTCCTTCCCCATAAAGAACCATCCCTTTGCTCCCATTCCCCACCCAATGGAGGCTCTTGGGGGGGGGGGGTCCCTATCACCACAGTGATAGCCCCTCAAGCACAGCTGTGCCTGACAGCTGCAGCACTGGCACTAAATTGAAGTCCCATGGTCTGTGCCACATTGTGGCACAGTCACTCACAACCAGCACGGCCACCCGCCCCTCGGAATGAACTGTAATGGCTTTGGTCTCCGCAGAGCTCTGTGAAAAGAGCAAGTGCTTCAGGATACTGTCTCCCAAGGCAATAGTGGCAGGCTGGGGTCCGAACATAGGCACATGTGGGTTTAGCACCTTCTCAGGGAGCAGAGAACTCGCTCCAGGTCCAGTCCAGCTCAGATCCTTAACCAAGCCAATTCTAAAGTAATTTGGAGGGCTAACACCCCAGCCCAATCAGGATGGCCCCTCTAGACCTGCCCTCTACCGTACTCCCAATAGCGGTGACTGCTCAGCCCTTTGCTGCTCTAGTAATAGGGAGAGAGAGGGCACATGCCCAGGGGGCTCTGAGCGAACAGCAAGCCCAATGCTAAGTCGAGGGCCCTGAAAAGAGGTTGCTTTGCCCAGCACCAGCAGGGAGAAGATCCCACCAGCTGGCAAAGAAAGCAGGTAGCAGGGAGAGTGTGGACACAATCTGATCCTCTGGCCCAAATCCCAGCCAAGGCACTCAGTGGTTTGCCCTGGGAGCTTCAAGTAGAAACTGGGCATGGGGCCAGGCTTCTCTAGGGGCAGAGGTTCCAGTCTCAGAGGGGCTTGATCTAGGGTGGCCCCAGAGTGCCAGCAGCACTAGGCTCTTCACAGCCAGCTGGGCATGGGACACACACCCCTGTGCCAACACGGCAGTGCCCTGGCATAGCATTACTCTGCAGGGCTTATTGGGAGGGGCTGCTCTGTAGCTTCTAGCCCAACTGCCCTTTCTTCTCCCCGCAGACCAGCTGGGGAGCAGCCTCAGGGATGCTGTAAGCAGAGCTTGAGCTCAAACCCCGCTCATAGAGGAGCAAGGCCCCTTCAGACAGCATGCACGTTTTCCCCCACCCCCACACACTACACAGGCGCCGCCGAGCTCTCACCTGGCGCTCTTGCTATTTCAGCAGCTGGCCAAGGGGTGGTGCTAGAGCACACTCATGTCTATCATATTGCTCCACCCATGGCCCCAGGCCTCCCCCTACCAAAATCCAGGCAGCTGGGGAAAGCCCCCAGACACTTGTAGCCAGACAGGGGCGAGGTGCTCCTGACACCCAGCCGTGTGGCAGGAGTCTGACGGACCAGCAGCTGTTAATAGCCAAGCCCAGAATTTCATCCTTTCAAAATCTCCCCTCCCCTCCCCCCAGCCAGTTCTTTGTGGGATGAATCACTCCAGCCCCAAAACCACAGCCAGCAGGAAGTCAGCTGCAGGACAGGGGCAGTGCTGACTGACTCAGGCAGGAGCACTGGGGAGCCTTGGCAAGACAGGCAGCTAGCAGGGATGGGGGAGGGAAAGCAGAGTAGGAAAGGGCAGCCAAGGTTTCAGCCATCAACCCCTACTCCACCCCTCCCCACCAACCAAACCCAGCACCCTCCTGCAGAACAGGCACAGCAGCTTGTGACAAGCCACGCAGGCCAGCAGCAAAAGCATCACAGTATGCTCCACAACAAGCCTCCACCCATGCCCCAGCCATGGGATGGCTGCTTCTGGCTCCTAAGCCACTTGTCACCTAGTTTGAAGCCTTTGGTGCAGTTCCCCCTCCCACACTTACCAGTTCCCCACGCCAGCAGCACCCATGTGTCCCCCTCTGCCCCCCTGTCCCAGCTGCCCTCAGCAATACCAAGCCTGGCAAATACCTTATGGCAAGTAGTTTTACATTGTTCTTTTTACACAAAAATAGAGCGATTCTGTATTGATAGACGGTTCTGTGCTGGAGTGGTTACTGAGCGAAGCCAGCGGTAGGCATCCCCAGCGGCATCTGGGAATCCAGATGCTCCTCTCTCATTTCCAAGATACAAAATTAAAGGCATGTGTCTCCATCTGGTTTCTTAAATATCGGGGTGAGGGTGTGATTGGACACAGTACGGACAGATCAGCTGCAGCAGAGCCCAACCACCATCCACCCCCAACCTCACCCCAATGTCTGGGGTCAGTGTGGCCGGCTACTTGACTCAGAAGGCTGCCTCTGGCACGGAGTGGTGTAGCCATTCAGGCAGCTGTTGATCTGGCGTTTGCTGTGTCCTCCATTCAGAATGTCCTGGATGTGCTGCACGATCAGGTTTATGGCCACTGGGTGTGGGGGAAACAGAGCTGGGGTTAGGATTGTACAGCGTAAATGAGTCCCAAACTACAGAAACGGGGCCACTCCCAGCTCCCTTTGCAATGCAGTGGGGCACACGCCCAGGAGTGCCAGGCTGTCAGCACTGCAGGGAACAGTGACGCCAGCCAAGTCACTGAGTGATAGCTTCCCGCATGCAGGCGGCGCCTCGTCCTCTCCCGCAGCCAGAGAGGAGCCATGCAAGTCAGTGGAGTGACACTGATTCACAGCAGCTGAGGAGCTGGCTTTGCCTCTCTACTGGGACTATCTGAGCATATGTACTTTAGACATACTAAGCCCCCTTTGCCTTAACATGTCTCACTCCAGGAGTTCATGCTGCAGGATACATGCTGCTGAGTTACTGCCTCTTGTACTCTGACTCACACAGTAAGCTGCAGGCTGCCAGCCCACCCATGCAGCAACAGGGAGCATCTAGGAGTTTCCCATGGGAGAGCACCTCCTCCAACCAAGTCTGCAGACCGTAACCGACCTTGAAAGCCAGATATGGGACTCATCACCTTGCTAGGAGCCACACTGGCTCCCATCTAACCCCAGCCCCGCAGGGGTCATTCACGTCCACATGCCAAACAGCAGCCATGACCCCATTAGTCAGTTTCCCCACATGAAGCCTCCCCATCCATTAAGGAGGAGCATCACTGCTCACCTTCATTATCTGCCCCCCTGGGGATGATCACATCAGCATACTTCTTGGTCTGTGAGAAGAGAGCACGGTGTTACAGGAGAGACCAGAGCATGTAACTGACCCAGCCTTGAAGTATTTTCATTGCTCCTGCACCTCTGAAGATTTCATACCATAATCCAGCAGTGCCAAACCCAGTCAGGCCTCAGAAACCAACGAACCAGCCACCCCACCACGGGACGTTAAACACATTCTGGCTTCTTTTCATTTGCCCTCTTGTTTGAGCTTTAGGCTATACTCTAAGCACGTTTTCATGCTTTTCTCCACAACCATGAGGGCTACAAAGTTTCATTAGTAAAAGTTGTGATCAGGTGAGAATCTCATGACTCCGGAAGTTGGTGCTTCAAGATAAACATCCCACCAAAGATCACCAGACTCGCAATAAGGGTCACAGGAGTTGACAAGACTGAGATCACAGGGAGTTTGTGGGGAGAGGCTGCCAACTAGTTTGTTTAGATGGGATTTCAATGTTGCTTACACTACCCTTCTGGAAGGTTAACGATGCAGCATCCCACTCTTTGCTGGCTCACACCTTCCTTCCCCACGATGCCAACGCCAGCTTCATTCCAGTCTTGGCATTTAGCCTGGAGCATAGCGAAGCCACCCACACTGCACTGCTATCAGCAACAAAACCAGAGCACCAGGCCAAGCGTTTAATAGTTGTCGCTGCTGCAGGATCTGCCCTGCACAGCCACACCCTGAGGGCTCCCAGAGGTGGTGGCCAGGCTGTGGAAATAGCCTCTCCCGACAAACTGCTACATTATTCATGGCTTTAGACAATGGCAGTTACGAGAGCCCATTACAGCCTAGCTCTGGCTCTTAGGGCTTATCTACACTGGCACTTTACAGCGCTGCAGGGGTGTGAAAAAACACCCCCCTGAGCACAGCAAGTTTCAGCGCTGTAAAGTGCCAGTGTAGACCGTGCACCAGCGCTGGGAGCTATGCCCTTCATGGAGGTGTTTATATATATATATATATATATATATATATATATATTAAAGATAAACCGCTGGGAGAGCTCTCCCCCAGAGCTGTGCCATGACTACACAAGCCATGTTAAAGCACTGCCGCAGCAGCGCTTTAGCGTTACCAGTGTAGACTAGCCCTAAGACAAGGTGGGGAAAAGTAATATTGTTTATTGGACCAACTTCTGCTAGTGAGGGAGACAAGTTTTCAAGTTACACAGAGTTCTTCAGGTCTAGGAAAAGTACTCTGAGCGCAACAGCTGCATACAAGATCAAACAGATAATGTATACTAACTACTTAAGCTAACCTACCTGTTCGCTCTATATTTAGTTGTGATACTCTGCCTACCTGTCCCACACCCAAAGAGCTCTGTGTGGCTCAAAAGTTTCTCTCATATCAACATAAGATGGTCCAATAAAAGACATTACCTCCCCCATCTTGTGTCTCTATGATCCTGGGACTGACATGGCTACAAGAACACTGCATAGCTATGGATCTGTCAGATTCCAGTCATGGGGATTCCCTCCCAGCCCATCTGACCCGGAGCTTGTTAGAAGATCAGCACCAGGATCACCAGTGCTTACACCAGGTTGCCTGTTCTGCACTGCATGCAAGTAGAATAGCTGCCCCTTGAGCCAGGAGCTTGGAGCAGGGGGTGCAGATCAGTCAGAGGCAGGATTCACCAGGGCAGAAGGAGAAGAGATGTTGCTGCCATCTCTGTTGCTCATTCCTCTCCCTGCAGGACCATGAGCAGATTCTGGAAGCAGATGAGGGCAGCTGTGGCACTTTTGCTGGGGATCGATGATCAGGAGAGGAGTGCGCCAAGGTGGCTAGAATACATCTTCTTGCCTCCTTTCTGGAGCCGACTACCTACCCTTCCTGACAGGCCTCTACACCCTTCCCTGACCCTATCAAGGAGGCCGCTAGACTTGGCTCCCATGACAAGTCTGTTCCACTCCATGTCTCCCAGAAGCCAATGATGACTGTGTATGACAGCAGATAGCCGGAAAGGAGGGTCCAACCCTGGACTGTCCCAGAGCCTCCTTACCCAGGCTTTGCATCCCCAAGGGACCCACTAACACAGCTCTCTCTCTGGAGCAAAGCAAGGCTCCCTCCCTGGCTTGAGGGGAAGGAAGTGCAGTGCTGGGAATAGGAAAGAAACAGTTAAGGAGAAGGGTGGTCGAATAGTTGAGGCACTTGACTGAGTCAGGAGTTCTGGGTTCTATTCCCACCTCTGCCACTGACTGACCTGCGACCTTGGACAAGTCACTCCATCTCAGTGTCTTGCTTCCCCCACGTGCAAGAAGGGGATAAAAATCCTTCCTGGCCCATGGCGCAGGGTCAGTCTCTTACTAGGCACATGGCCAGTACCTAGTGCAAGGGGGCCCTGATCTTTGTTCCAGCCCTCTAGGTGCTACCACATAGACTGGCAAGGTGGGCTCCTTGTGTTCACCTCCCAGGCCCCCCGCTCTCCCTCTGCCTTCCCTGGGAGCCAAAACCATCTCCACCTCCACTGGCAGCACCTGAAGTCACTTCAGTTCTGATTCCAGGAATCCACAGCTGGAACCCAGCAAGCTCTTCATTGGCTTTGTAGCCAACCAGAAGTGGGAACCCCAGGCCAAGACCTGCAGCACAGAGCTCAGTCCCCTGCCCCTCCTTTTGGGCCATCCAGAAGGCATGAGCACTGGCTGTGTCCCAGGGGTAGGGAAGGGAACATCAGTGTGTCCCAGCACACCCACAACAGCCTGTAAGCCACTGGGACTATGCACAAGCTGCACCCACAAATAGGGACTTCCCCTGCTGCTGCTGCATCCAGCCGGAAACTCCAGCCACAGGGAAGTGACCATTGAGAGCAACAGACACTGTGCCCTGCCATGCAGCCATCTGTGTCTGCAGGGAGAGAATGCACACTGTCCAGGCTGGCGCTGCCCTGAGCAAAGTGACGTCGCTGCATGGTAGGGCAGGCCCCAGCGAGAAGAGAGCTCCCAGTCAAGGAGCTCCCAGACGGCTCGTGGGGTGGTTGTTTTTTCTCACTCACTGGCAAGCAGAATTCCTCAAAGGCTGGTTTGACGAAGGTAATGTACTGAGACAAGATTTGCTCAAGGTCCCGGCCTCGCTCGCTGATGTCTCGTAACACTAGGAGGAGAAAAACAAGTCAGTCAGGAGCCAATTGCATGGGCCAAAGCATCCCCGCCCCCGTTTCCTAGACAGGCCCCTTTCCCATCACTCTTCAGGCCACACCCCAGGCCGGCTAGATGGCTCACAGTTTAATGCCATTTGGTTGCGACAGCTCCTGAGAAGAGGGGCTGATATTACAGGCCTGAGCCAGGCGGCTGTGCATGTTCCCCCCCTTCTAGGTCTATCAGTGCACTTCAATTCACAACATTCCAGTCCTGCCTCCAGAGTTCTCCCAATGCACCAGTCCCAGCCTACAGCCCTGATGCTACTACATTACTGGGGTCCCCCCATAGCTCTACTGATGCCCCTCAATCCTGACCTGCAGCCCCCTGTTATTCCAGTCATAGGCCCCTCACACAGATCTGTGAATACCCCTGAATCCTGCACTGGCCCCCCAAGGCGGGGACACTCAGAAGCCGAGGCTAACAGTTCCACAGCAGCTTTCGCATTGTAAATTGGATAGTTCTATCTAGGGGGCAGGAACACAAGGGTGGTGGCTCTCAAACCAGACAAGCGACCTCAGCAAAGTCTCTAGAGTGGAGAAGTGAAAGCTACCCCACTTCCCCACCATGGACAAGCCACTGCCTTGCTATCCTTGTCTAGCCCCTTTTGGGGGGTGGCTGGTCCGAGTGCAGCTCGTGGGAGGCAGGAGATAAGAGAAGGTTGCATGATGCTTGCGAGTTCCAGGGCTCATTCTGGACCAATCCCAACCTTCCGCACCAGGGCCGGCTTTAGCAAATGCGGGGCCCGATTCCTGGGGCGGCACTTCGGATTGCCGGCTGGGGGAGAGAGGGCTGCGGGGCTTGCCGTGGTCCGGCCGGGGTCGCAGGGCTGCCGCAGTCCGGCCGGAGCTCTGGCCAGGGGAGCGGGGCCCCCCAAAGACGACCGCCACCAGGGTGAGTGCGTGGGGCCCTCTTAGGCGCGGGGCCCGACTCCGGGGAATCGGGCAAATCAGCCTAAAGCCGGCCCTGTTCCCCACAAACTCCTGGTTGGTAGCAGCAGAGGACAGTCTCCACCTTCTCCTGGAGGTGAGACAGCTGGGCCTTGCCTGCACTGGAGATTCCTGCTGACTCCAGTAATTGGCTGTAACCGCCCCAGTGAAGACAAGAGAAACAGATTCACACCAGTGCAGCTTCTTTCTTCCTCCCATGCTTTGCCCCTCTACATGAGGGACTGGCCCTGGTGCAGCCACCTGATGGCTGAAGTTGGGGCAAACCCACAGAGCAGACAGTGCTGGGCTCTTTTCAGGAAGTTTCTTGAAGGAACTTCTCCCCCAGCATGCAAGGGCAGCATGGAGCAGGGTGCTCGCAGCACCAGCCAGCTGGCTTTTTGTGACAATTGTCAGGAGCCAGGCAGCCTCCGAGCACAGCGGCCTCCAGGGCTGCCCAGAGGATTCAGGGGGCCTGAGGCAAAGCAATTTCGGGGGCCCCCTTCCATAAAAAAAAGTTGCAATACTATAGTAACATGTATTTGGAAATGTAAAAAATAACCAGTGAAATAAAATTTTTTGAATGTAATAATTTGAAAATACACAAAATACATTTAAAAACATTAAATTCTTTAATACATTTGCAATTACATAATGGGCTGTCGCTGGGTGATGGTTGGTGCCAATGGGCTGTCGCTACCTGGGGGTGGTGCTGCTGTTGCCCAGGGCTGGGTGGGGAGCTGGGCTCTGGGTCAGGGGGGGCCCGGCTCAGAGGGGCTGGGCCAGAGCTGGGGGTCAGGTGTCTGGCTCAGAGGGGCTTACCATGCTGCTTACTCCCACCTCTCCTAGAGCCTCAGCGCGCCGCGTCCAGGAATGGCCCTGGACAACGCTGCAGCGGCGGGACCTGAGCTCCTCCCGCTCAGAGCCGTGTGGTAAGGGGGCACGGCTGCGAGCTCAGGTCCCACCGGAGCACCGCCTCCTTACCACGCGGCTCTGAGCGGGAGGAGCTCAGGTCCCGCCGCTGCAGCGCTGTCCAGGGCCACTCCTGGACGCGGTGCGCTGAGGCGCCAGGGGATGGGGAAAGGCGGAGGCGGGGGGGAGCCTCCGACATTCTCGGGGGGGCCCCTGCAGGGCCCAGGGCAAATTGCCCCACTTGCTTCCACCCCCACCCCCCCGGGTGGCCCTGGCAGCCTCCCCAGGAAGCCAGTCACTGGCCCGGCAAACATCCAGAGTGCTGTCAGGAGGCAAAGCAGCACTGGTCTCTCTACGTTAGTTTGGAGCTGACCCAGCAGCTCCGATCTCTTTTCCTGCTTGTGCTTGGCTGTCAGTTCCGAGACACGCCTTTCGCACACCATGGGATCCTGGGGTGGGAACAGGGACTGGCAAGCCTGGCGTCTGCTCCTGGCCTGGAGACCAGCCCAGCCCCATTCCAGGCTGCTCCTACTGACTTCTTCCCTCTCCAGAAAGCTTCATAAAACCCAGCACAGATTTTCTGAGCAGCACACAACAAATGGGCAAGAAGAGGGAGAGTTTAGCTTTCCCAGTTCCACGCTGCACTCCCTGGCCTGAGGGGGAGAAAGCCTGTACGAAGGTCACACACAACTCCATGCGCGGTGGGGTTTCTACAGTTCCCTTCTAACACAACCGAGTTGATTAACCATTGCTCAAACCCAGAGCCAGACAGATCCTCATATTTGGGGCATAGACTGACCATAGCTAACAGGGGACAGGAAGAAACTTTCCTGGGGCAGTTTATCCCTTAAACTTGCACTGTGGGGTGCTTGCACCTTCCTCTGAAACAACTGGCACTGGCCACTGTCCAAGACAGGATACTGGACTAGCCTGATCATGGGTCTGTTTCTGGGTGGCAGTTCTGCCCCACATGCCAGGTGCTTCAGCATACAGGTTACAGCTGCAGGGAGTCCAGCACCTTCAGACTTACCACAGTGTCAGCCGTGATACTCTGAATAGGTGAGGCACCCTCAGGATAGGTAGGGAGAGCGTCCAAGACGACAGGGGAGGCTCCAATTCTGTTTCCACAAGGCTCCTCCCCCCCGGAATTGGGCTTTACAGTAACTCCTCACTTAATGTCCTCCTGCTTAACGTTGTTTCGAAGTTACGTCGCTGCTCCATTAGGAAACATGCTCATTTAAAGTTGTGCAGTGCTCCCTTATAACCTTGTTTGGCTGCCTGCTCTGTCCACTGCTTGTAGGATTCTGTGGAAGAGCACTGCCTTCTCCCCCTCCCTCCCAGCACTTCCCCTGCCACAAAACAGCTGTTTGGTGGCACTTAGGACTTTCTGGGAGGGAAAGGGAGGAGCGGGGACGCGGCGTGCTCTGGAGAGGAGGTGGAGTGGGGGTGGGAAGAAGTGGGCCTGGAGTGGAGTGGGGACAGGAAGAGGTGGGCCTGGAGCATCCCCTGGCAAAGCTGGCACCTGTTCTTCTGGGGGGAAGCTGCCGCTGCTGCTGCGCAAGGTGCTTCCTAGTGTCCTTGCCTGCAGCAGGCTGTGCCTGTGTGGGGTAAGCCGGGGCACCTCCCAACCACAGTACAGCATATAATGCCTTTTGTCTGCCTAGAAAAAGTTTCCTTGGAACCTAATCCCCCGCATTTACATTAAATCTTATGGGAAAATTGGATTTGTTTAACATCATTTCACTTAAAGTTGCATTTTTCAGGAACATAACTACAACGTTAAGTGAGGAGTTACTGTACCTGCCACCATGGCTATTCTTTTATTTCTAGTGGTCTATATGCTTTGCTGATGCACGATTCACACCCATCCAGAAAGCCTGATATACACGTGAGAGCAAGGAGGGCTGGCAAAGATCAGATCAGGCCTGATGCATCTCCCATCAGAGTCCCTGGAGAGACTCCTGTTGACTGACAGGAGACGATCAGCCCCATCACAAAGAGTAGTATCTGGAGCAGCTGGCCAGTTCTGCGATCTGGCAGCAGAACCACTCTTAGCGGAAAGAGCATGACGCAATTTACAAAAACCAAAGTCCCAAGTTTACTGCTCCAGCCCGTGCTAATCCAGGATTCTGGGCTCTGGTTCCCACAGTAACAGTCAATTACAGTAATGTCTCATGAGTGGGCTGCGACTCAGTAGCCAGATCTCACTACATCATCCTGCCTAGTTTCTGCAGTTCAGAGGTTACAGCCAGAAAGGACCATTAGTCACTGGCTCTGGCTTTCTGTGAAACACGGGCCATTGGATCTCCCCCCACATCGCATTACTGGTTGAGATAGGTACATGCTTGGTCATTGGTTAGGGAAGGAGAGAAACAAGGCTAGGACTAGCGCTTCCCACAATGCCTATGAAAGGTAACACACAGAAAGCCTTTGGGTGGTCAATCCTCCCAAAAAAGGAAGGAGTCCAGTCCCTTGAACAGGGAGGGAGCTGCTCTCCGATGGGCCTGCTGGTCTCCAGCCAACCATATTGCAGGGCTTTAGAAGCGGGGGTGGGGTGGGTAGAGAAGAGGGGGAAGAGAGAGAATGAACATGAACAGTTCCTAGTCAATGACTTTTACCTATAGCAAGGGCTGAGAGGGGGTAATCGAGCACTGATTTGAGGAGTGTTGTCTTTAGGGGCTGTCTGTTCATCACCTACAATTTCTTGCTTCCAGGGTTCCATTAGCCAAGACCTATAAGCCCCACTAACACACCCATCTCAATGATCAATAGAGAGTTCTTTCCAAATCAGCTGGTTCAGTTTCTTCATGGTGGTGGTGGGTGGGTGTGTTCATTCCTCAGTTGCTATCATTGGAGTGAGGGCCATTTTTCAGTTCCTAGCACCAAGAAGAACTATAAGTGGATCTTAAAAAGGGATTGAATAATTCTAAGACCAACAATAATTCTAAGACCAACAACGTTAGAAATCACGTGCTAAGACAAAGGTAACCAAATCTCATGCTTCAGGGCATGAGCCAATTGCCACAGTGGTCAGGCAGGTTTACAGTGATCCTATATAAAGCACTGTACTGTCAGCCAAGTACAGGTGATTTTCACCTTCCCTTGGGACATGAGACAC